GAAAAATTATGTCTCTTCTATGTACATTTTACCCTTACACATATAGTTTTCCTATAATAGACGATATAAAATATGTTTTGTCATTTGCTCACCAATTTGAATTGGAATGAAAACCATGAATCACATGCTTAGCTTATATTTATGCTTTGTTCACGCAGAATTTTAAGGAATACACAAATGAAATTGAAAATAAAGAATTTGTTATTAATATGTTTTCTTCGTAGTTCCACCGAATATAAATTATTTACATAGTTAAATACAAGTATGTACGTATTTTTTATGAAGATTTAAATGTATATGATCCATTAGACATTCATTCAGGAATACAAAACCTGGAACGTACCAATTAACTTTATATCATTTTTATACATTTGTGAATAGATTGATACCAATCTCATTACCAGAATATATGTAATCATTGGTACATAATTTTACTACTATTTATTTCATACTATTTGTTAATAGTTAATATAAAATATTAATATTCATATTTAATGTTAGTTTAAAAAATAAATGTTTCATAGATTTACATGACATTAAATGGTATGATTTATTCGACCACTGATCTCGAGGGATATCTTATTACCTATATTTTTAATATCTGATGCTGTGAAACGATTTTTACTATTTAAAATTATAGAAAACATATACTCTATACAACAAATGGCTGATGAATTACAAATATTTTTTAATTTATTCGATATAACAGCTTAATACTAGGAATAAATAATGTAGCCACTTTAAATTATAAACGCGCAAATAAGCTTTAGTCATGAAATAACTGATCGTAGACATTTTCCACTAAAAATAAATCGTGGTCAATTGTAAGCTCATAGGATTTTTATTATCCAAGCTTTTTACAATAATGTGTCAACAAATAGTTTCAATATTTCTGGGTAGAAATTATTATATTGTTAATTGTAGAATAAATCTTTTTATATAATAATATTCGATTCTAATAATAATTATAATAATATCATGATACTACGTTACTTGCATAACTGCACCATTGACTCTTGTTGTAGCTTAAGGGACTACACCTACATGTGTTGTCTCCGTCTAATACACGAACAACTATTGGTTTTAGAATATATATTCTAAAATCTACAAAATAGCAAATTTGCATTTAGTAGTTCAAATGTAGTGGTATTAACTTTAATACTACAGTAAACGTACATACAATCAAACACCAAAAAATAAATATTATCTATGTTTTGTTGGTGGATTTTTCCGATATTTTAATTATAAAGGCAGTTATGAATTTTTTAATTGTTATATTTTACATAGGTACTCATAACTCGCTTAAAAATTAAAATACCGAAAAAGTCGACTAACAAAACATAGATAATGTTATAATGTTATCCCTTAAAGCTTAATTATAGGTCAATTTACTCTAGTATTAAAGCTAACATCGTTACGTTTGAACTACTAGACGCAAATTTATTATGTTGTACGTGTGTCAGATGGAGACTACACATCCGGAAGTGTGATGTCCTTTTAAAGATTTGACCACCAAATTCTCTTTTGTATTAAAAGAATCAACTAATATTTACGATCTCTCCAATCTGCAAATTCTCAAAACTCATAATTTGTAAACATAAACCGTTTGTTATTTTTCAAAATTTTATTTTTTAGCGTTTTTGAAATTATTGGTTTTATGAATGATTTTATCGCAGCAATAAAATCATCTAAAATTAAAAAAGTTCAGATTTTATAAAATAAAAATAATTCTCTTATGGATATAATTGATTACCACTGCTAGTTATAGGCATATGAACTGGATTACTGCAGGATAGTATAAATATAGAAACACGTCATTGCAAATCAAAAATAAATGTATTTCTTTTCCGTGAAGTTGATAAAATATTTTGAGAATTCTTCTAGAACACAATGAAAGGGACTAGAAGTTGCGATAAAAAATATTAAGTGTTACGTCAGTATTCATAAAGATAGTATAGCGGGATCACGATTTCTTTTTACTTGGGTCATAAAATGGTAATACGGATGGTATCAAAAAATGAGAATTGGTAGTGGAAATAAAAATCATCGAAAAATCCGGGTAACCCAAAATTCCAAACGATACAATCATGCATAAATATATGTATTGAAAATGTTTCCAAGCCTTTTGTACGAGTATATGTACACATATATAATATATATGTATAGATAATATACTCTAATCTAAGATTTTCAGCCCTCTGTTTTCTTTTTCTACGCGAAATGATAAATAAAATTATCTCCAGAAGCTGCTTATCGTCGTTGTCCCTTTTCTGTTCAAGACCTACAGAGAATTCGATTTGCACGTCATTCCTCGCGGACAGTGAGAGGTCTATTCTTGAATATAAAAGAAAATTATTCGAATAAAAATACAAAAATACAACTATATTTTTGAATATTTTCGAAACATTTTATCTTAAGTATTAGAATAATATATTATAAGACAATATATTATTATAACTAATTAGTATTAATATTAGATTTTTAAACAATTTCGAGCCGTTTATAATCATTAAAAATAGCGATAGAAATGATAATAATTATCATATCATCATAATAATTACCATAAACAATTATTGTACATCAATATAAAGATTAAGGATTCTATTGTTGGATCTCACATGTATACGTTCACCGAATACGAATCTGATGGTAAAATAGAATCTATTCTTATCCGAATACCGTTTGAGAATATGTTTCTGCCGAATTAGAAGAAAAAGTTCGATTTTTGGTATACCTGAACAGTATACTACTTATTCTATTACGTTCAAGAATAGATGCCACATTAATTCATCTGTAGCATTATTTTGATACCTATTAAATTTATTTCGGTTAAATTTACCAATGCTGCAGTTACTTTTATATGCTAATTATAAGGATAAACATCGTTATAATTTTATGTTGATGGTCTCCAAGTAAAAGAAACAATGTTGTTAAAAATACTTTTCAGAAGTATTTCACATAGGTATTTAAATAATTTAGTTAAAAAGTATTAAAATATTTATATAAATACTTTTGCTAATAAGTATTTAAATACAAATACCAATATATTCAAAAAATATTTCAAATACTTTTAAATACATTTTTTTAAGCTTTGTTGTTGATTCTTATTTCTTAAAACATTACGACAAAATTATATTAATTTTTGAGTGAATAGTGACTAGTGACTAACGTAATAAATTAATTTTAACGATTGTTAATGAAAAACGAGTGTCAAAAAAATGCGAATATGTGGGATACCGGAATTCGGGATGTCACCGTGCTAAGATACTATAAAATATAAATAGCCAAATAGGTATGCGATATACGTGAAATATAATTTTCCCTGTAATATTTTTAAATATTTTTTGTCAATAGCAACATTTATAATCGTCACTTCGTCTCTATATTTTTAAATTTACCAGACGTTCATTCTGTTGATCAAGCTAAAATTAACTTATCACTTTATAAACAAATCTTAATAGTGGTAAAAAGGAATAACTACACTTGTCTCATTTTACTCAAATATTTTTGTTCTCATCTCATATTACTTTAAACTTCATATTGTTGATGAAAATGAGGTATTCCATTTTACCCATGTATAAAAAATGATAAATCCAGTCCATATTATAAAAAAATTGTCATTTTCACCAATAATCGACTTAATCCTTTTTACTCAAAGAACGTCGGTATGTTTTGTTATTTTTAGTTAAAATTACTAAAAATCATCAAATCTGTATGCTTGAAGAAAACAAATAACGTTTCCGGTGTCAGTTTTCCTGTATTCAGTATACCTGAATTTAATGGAGTAAAATTATTCGGAAACCTGAGCTTACACTGTATTGTCATTTTGGCCGTTCCGTGTATTTATTCTTCTTTATCACTACGGTTTTTTTACGGATAATTCTATAATGCATAAACCATGGCTAAATCACATTATATTTTTGTTGGATATAAATTAAAATATTTTATCATTTTGAATAAACAATGCATTTAAATATCATTGTAATATATAGAAAGATATACTTAATATTAAATTACATGTGTCTAGACGAATTTTGAAATACTGGAATATTGGAAATATGTCCAATATCGAGTATACCAAATAAAATACATGATATAACCAAAAGAATGTCGTAAGTTAATCACATCCAATAACCCGAATACAAATATTCTATTATTCTACTTATATTGAAAACAATAACGTTTTGAATTCTCTAAAGAAACGTAATAAATTGATTTGTATACATTTATATACATAGACAACTGATTTTATACAAATACTCGTATTATTATTTTAAACCCTGGACGTTCCCAAACCACATTTTTTGAGTGAGCCTTATAGGTTTGGCATCATGATTTCTATATATTTAATTAAAAAAATCTACCCATTAACAATATTACTAATGCATATTAATATTAATTTAGTTTACATTTTTCGATTAAATTAACATATTTTAAAGTAATGCATTTATTAAAAATTAAATTCTAATTATTTTAATGGTTTTTATTATATATCAGCAATTTAACTTTTTAATCATTTAATGAACCGCTAAAAGTATTGACCAGAAATAAAATTATACCGCAAAAGTCTAACGTAATCAATTCAACCCGGCATATTTCGTATTCGTGGAACATGTCGGTTAACGCAGCGGTGACATAGGATCCGGTAACCCATATTTCCATCGAAATTTGAGCATCTTAATTAATGCTAATCATAAAAATATAATGTATCCATGTGATGAAAACTTTTTTCACGCGTAATATCAAAATGTAGAATATCGACACGAAATCCAACACTAATTTATATAAACGTGTATATATAAACGTGTGTATATAAACGTGTGTATATAAACGCAAATTAGGTTAGGATGTGAGCTTATATTAACAATGTTCATATCATCTTCGTGGGACGTACTGCTTACCGTTATTATGCTTTTAATGCCTTTAAATGCGTTAAATACGACATGACGTGGTAGAAAGTTTTTGAAATTTGTTGATTTTCGTCGTGTGTACGTTTCCAGAGAGAGAAAAACAATGCCGGGCCAACAGCAAGAACGCATAAGGCTGTCCTCGATGGGCGGCGAGTCAACCTGCAGTAACAGTAGTAACGGGGCTAGTGGCAGCACAATTATGAAAATCAGGAGACGCGTGGTTATGATGGGAGCAGCCAGAGTGGGCAAAACATCCATTATCAAACAGTTCCTGTACGACCAGTTCCCCGACCGATACAAGGAGACTATTGAGGAATTGCATCGGGGTGAGTATATAAGTAGTTGAATTCGTTTTTTAATTTTATTTATAATCACCCGAAAACTCAAAGTATTATAAAGTAAAAAACGTCTGCAAATATGTGTGGAACGATTTTGTAAAACAATACGATAGTGAAAAAAGAGAAAAAATGTATCTTAATAAAGAAAAATAATACAATATAACATTTAAAAAAATCATGATAAAGTATAAAAATTACCTATAGGTAAGGTTGAACTTTTCATTATAATAAATAGAGTAACGGATTATATAATATATAATATATTAAATTTATTATATTATAATATCAAACTTAAGATTATTCGTTATCTAAATGGACCTGTTGATTGGAGAGTGAATTTGATCGATGCTGTTCGGACCAGATGCATAAATTATTATTATATGCGCTCGGAAACTTAAACTATTTGATATACAGCACTGTAGCACCACCTACCGATCGATGTATAATGTGTAATGGTGTTATAGCACTGAACAGAAAATGGGCAGGTTTTCGAGCAAATCCTGTTAGTGCTAGTACGTCAGTTGTCGTGTATGTCAGTGTATGTGTGTGTGTGTGTATGTATAATATGCATGTGACATGTACTCGTATGATGAGTGTGTACTTAAAAATTAAAGAAAATTGGAATTGGGATAACGGTATTATAATTATGATAACATTAAAAATATACTTATAAATAAAATAATAAAGTGTCATAAAATAAGGTAAGTATAATATTATTATTTTGATGTATAACAACTGTAATACACAAAATTAATTAACATCGCTGTATAAATATAAATATTATGTATTCAAATATCACATATAAATAGAAAAAGTACAATAGTTTAATAATAATGAATAAGTAATTAAATATAGTAATAACAGAATATTTATAAACGTACATATAATACTTACATACTCGTACTATGTCGGCGTACAGATTTCTGGATAGATGTTGTCGTCTATAATCTAAATAATATAATTCAACGTGCAAAACCAAGTGGTAGACGAATGAGAAAAATGTATTGATTTTGTGTCGTAATAATAACAATAATAATAACTAGGGCTCGGATTTATATGTATTTATTTAACAAAAGTATGTATTTATACAACAAAAATATGTACATAAATATGTGCTAAAAAATGAATAATATGTATTATCAAAAAAAAAATAATAATAATAATAATAATAATAATTAAATGAATAATTAAATGAAATGTAATAAAAAAAATATATATTTATCTAACTATCTAATTATTTTGAGTACAATTAATAACAACATGCATTTTTAAATTCTCGAATTCGAAAGATCGCTGATTCCGTTGTAAAATTGCTTTATATCGACTGAAAGATCTCTCAACTTCGACTGATGTTATAGGACAATACTGCACGTTGACTATGTCTGAAGGAGAAAGTTCTACATCCAATGAAGCTTCAGTCGAAGTACCAGTCAGAATACTTTTAATAGCTTTCATTTCTGCTATACCGGAATTTTTTTGTAATCAATTTTTAACTTTAGCGTTTACAATATCGCCAATTGGTCCTTGGACTTTTTCAAGTCTTTTTACCGCTTCCTCTACTACATTTAAACTTTCTACTAAAGTTAAGTCTTGAGTTTCTTTTTTCGTAATGACATCAACCAAAAAATAATAATTAACAGAAATGTTTATTATTTCATTTTTTAAATCATTATTTTCTAAAAGAATTTCAGCTTTTTCAATATACATTGAAGTAGTCGCATCGAGTTCCGCAACAACATTTTTGATTTCTTGGAAGTTTTGGCAATAATAATTAGTGGCATTCAACCAAGTGCCTCATCTAGTTACAATTGGTTGTGGAGGAAGGCTTAGATCTGGGTACATATTTTTAAATATTTCGACACGGCTAGGAGCTTTTAGAAATATCTTTTTGACTGAAGATATTAACTCGTCAACTTTTGTAAATTTTGATCTTATAGTTTCTGCTATTCGGTGAAATGCGTGTGCTAAACACGTTAAGTGGATCATTTTCGGGAAAAAAACATTTAATGCTTTACCGGCTTTTACCATATATGGCGCGGCATCAGATACAAATAATAATACATTCTCGTACATAATTATATTGGGCCATAATATACTCATAGAATTATTAAAAAATCTTGCAACAGTTTGGTGGTTGCATTTATCTAATTGTTCACAGTTTAACAAAAAAGGATTGGATTTACTGTCATTTAATTTTCCGACAATAATATTTGCAATGAATCTACCATCTACATCGGTTGTTTCATCGATTGATACCCATATGGGTCCATCACCAATTAAATTTCTTATAGAAACAAGAGTTTCTTTGTAAATTGGTTAAATATAATTTTTTCTTAGAGTGCTTTCATCGGGAATCGATTATGCAGTATATTTTTCCAAGAATGATTTTAAATTAGAATTTTGAAGTTTTGCTAGCGGAATATCAGCTTTAATAAAAGCTTGACATAAATCGATGTTGAATATATTAGAAACTGAGGAAAACGTAGATGACAAAAAATTTTGTTTAAATTTCAGCTTTCTATTTTTGTCCTCTTTGTGCTTATTAGTTTGTAAATTTTGTGTTACTTGAAATCGTTGTTCAATTGCTATCAATTTTTCACAAGCAGCACATTATAAAATTTAACCGTCACTTTGTAAATGTTCATTTGGAAATTCAGAAACATATTTTATTGCTTTGCAAGTTTTAGACGATCGTACTTTCGGCATCATTGGTAATTTACACGTAAATATAAAATAACGAACAACGAACGCAGATTAAATCCACGAAATTAAAACACGGCCCGTTCGTTACTGTAAGTATACTGACCCACTGTCAGTACTTCAAACACAAACATGTCTTAATAAATCGTAATCGAACATATGTCGACAGTAGATTAGATTAAATTTAATAATTGGTATTATTTTGTTATTATTTTGTAATTTTGGAAACATGGGGAAAGTCTGTATTAATAAATAATAAATCGTAAATGAACAAATTGTCGAAATATGTAGGAAAAATGGAATTATTGAGAAATATGTAAAAATATGTAAAATAAAATATAGTTCATTTGATTGGAAATTCCTTGAAACGAATTTATCACTTACCTAAATTAATTTATCAAGTTACAGTAAAAATATGTATTTACATATAAATCCGAGCCCTAATAATAACATTTGAGCTATGGCTATGGCTCAACGTAAATGTAAAAACAATAAGCTTGGCTTGTTGCTGCGCTACAAATGTAAAAATAAAAACAACAAGAATTTAACCTTTGGTGACAATACTATGTACGAATTATGCATGCCTACAACGGCTATTGAATAACAAAAATTAGTCTGTGACAAAAAAAAAACTGACGATGTGTGCTCAGCGACAGTTCGTGCGACACACAACGACTGGACAATCGTCATAAATTATATCACGGGCTCTTAACATAACTCGCACACATAACTGATACAAAATAATATTAAAAATAATGTATCTACGCCGGCAACCGTGAAAGTTCGGTTACAGTAGCAGGAACGATAGACTATGCGTCAGGGTGTTATGGATCCAGGGGATCCATAAAATATATATATCCAGGTTATAGATCACTATCGCGTCACCGCTGATATAATGGTATGCTATGCTTGTACTGTCTTGATCAGATCCTATTTTTCATATTTGAACACTACCACTGATGATAATAATATTATCATATTATGATGATTTAGGAGAATGAATACTCAAAAATCAATGTGGAATACGCTAAGAGGTTTTCTCGGGGGACCAAGTGTTTAGTTAGGTCTGTATCAGGTTAAGTCTGATCAAAACTCAGATAATCATAGAAACCGGTTTAAGTATTTTTCAAAATTATAGTTTGTTAATTCCATGGCAGCAGCGTCAAAACATCACCGTCGGTCAATAACTACTCATAACGATAAGACCGTTGACCATTTTTTTCTGCCATTGGTCTGTTCCAACCGCATATGAAACTATTCGACGGTTATTTTCCGACAGTTTGTACTCGAGTGGTTACAATTACCGATATCAATTCAAGCTGCTCAAATCTGCTCAAAGCTTTGCTTTTCGCATTTAAAGTTCGTTAAGCTAGAATGTTATTTCCGGTGATAAAGAAACGTACCCGGATGGCAACGCATCTCACTCCGAGTACACTACAGTTTGTGATGCAGATCCTATGCACTTTATCAACATCGATGTAAACACTATATTTATTCAAAATATCGCTTCATCTTCGTTGAATGGGTTTTTATTCTTAACAATTCAATGTACGATGTACCTCGTATAAATTTATCGGCTCAATCTTTTGATTGTTTTTGTTCCAAACTGTTGACACAATACGCTTCAAAACTTTCTCAACTATGTATACTGAAATTATCAATAAAAAAATGCTTTCAATATTTAATTCCTTGCCGTGTACGGGTGGAAATATTCTTTTTATTTTCGATTTATTGACGAATTTTACGTGCTACACCAATAAACCTTTTCGTATTAAAATAATACACCGTGTCACGAATATATATTTCATAATTTCACGTTTCAGAAAAGTTATGACTGATTTTAAAAAATGTATTATTGTTTTATCATGTATATTTTTTTTAAGAAGTTTGAATTAATGACTCAAATATATCTTTTAGCAAATTATATTTGAATGTTTTCATATTTTTCCCTTACTTCTTAGTAGTGAGTTATGATCTTCAGGATTCAAAGTTAGTTTCAATTGTAACCAGAGCATTTTTATTTTTATATTTTCTAGTTTAATATTACCATCATTGAATCGAAACAATTTCCCTATAAAAACATATGATAATATGTATTTTTTTATCTCACACAATACATTTCATAGAAGTCTTTTTTTTCTTCATATTTTATGGTCGAAAAAAAATACATTTTATGAATTTCTGCGATTTTCTGATTTTTTGGTTCAACATCTTTTTCCACATTCTCAGTTTCACAGATTATACTATAAAAACTTTTATAAAATATATTTTCTATGGAACACCTTTAAAAAAATGTATATATAAATATATGCATTACTCAATTATTTTTCATAACCGTATAATACTTGAAATAAAGTAAATAAATGGTAATTTTAAATTAAATTTTTTTTTGTTCAGTATCTAGTTCTTATAATTACCTTTTATGAAATATAAATAGTGATTGTCTATTTTGAATAGTATAATTATTTATCAAGATAAATCGATTAATTAAATCTTTATCGATACTAGTTACTATATTTCTACAAACAATTACTTTTGTTATTACATTTAATATTATGATTAATAATTTATTATAATAGAATAAAATAATCCTAAAATATCAAATTAAATTGTACTATATTTTTTATTTATTTATTAATTTTTCATTTGTAAACTTTTGATATCACTATTATGAGTGATATTACTGACTCGATAGAAATCGTGAGAAATATTTGATGTAACACACTTGTATTTTATGTACTCAGAACTCGATATCATATCATCAATTGTTAACTGGAGGGTTTCAATGTCACCTAAAATTACAATTGAAATAATGACAATTGAACATAGCTTTTGTGGTAAATGGCTTTTAAATCTCGCGTCCACAAGTCGAATTTTATGCCAATATTAGGTACTTGAAGAGTTTAAATTTTAATGTCGATCGTTCTTTAAAAATCAGTGACAAAAAACACCGAAAAATATTTTGTCTAAAGATAAAACAATCAAAAAAACAAATTACACATTACGTACGACCGTTTTTCCTCTTCGGTTTCATAGGTATGCGTAATTATCGAGTCTAAAATAAAAAATATCAATGGTGATTTACGTTGTTACAAACGAACAAATGCAATATAGTCCCCGATTATAATTACTAAATCGGCCATTGATTGCGTGATTTATATAGTACCACGGTATCGCGTAAAATATAATTATAAACTGAATTTGTTTGATATGAATAAAAAATAAAATAAAATTGCGTTAAAATACACTGCCGTAAATCATGTATCGAAAATTCATCGGTAATTTTCAACGTTTCACCTCCAAGTCACTATAGACGAGTAGAAAATGTAATCAATCATCAATCAATAACACGCCGCCGTCACAACTGTAAGCTATCAAACTAATCAATTTATCAATTTATTTATTTCCTTTTTTCTTTCGGCTAATTCGAACATGTAAAATGCGTATAGTCAATACAGTGTACGTCGGTGTATCTAAACTATTATACTTTAAATCTGTAATTGCATTGGTGTTTTATCTCTCTGATCCTTTCCATTCTACCGTTAATTTGCTTAACTATGTTATGGTTTACAATCCCTCTTAAAAACAAAAAATGTATGCAAGTATTGGTTTATGTAAGTGTTTAACGCCTACCATCTACCACAGCACGTAATTATCAATTTAAAATATCTTTTAAAATGTATAAGTAAATAATAGAAATAAGTATAAAAACGAGTTACCTACAGTATATCTTTAATAAGAATTGCGCTGTGGATAAAATATTATACCGTTAAATAATAATCATAAACAACCAAAAATAGTATCGGTAATCATGGAAACGAGAGTTATTATAGATGGACGGACAATCGAGTACACTAGCACGTGAAGTCTTTTGCATATGTATATAATATATACATATTATGTATATGTTACGGGCAAAGTATACATTTTGGATAATATAGAAAACGGATGATATGATTTAATGAATAATGACATATTATTAGAAAATATAATAAGTTTTTTTAATTTTATTATCACTTATTGTTGCATGTACTGCTTCCGTGACATATTGATGAACATAGCCGCTCCGCTGCTTTACACTTGCACTTCCGTGTTTTACATTTTTGTACACATATACATCGATCGTAGCCCTGATCACCCAAATTTGAAGATTTCCGTGCTGCCCTCGGAGTGAAATTTTGGTATGCGGCACATCATCAACTTCCAGAAATCTTTCTTTGCAAATTACAAATTGGTTTCTACTGTACATAGTTGAAAGGCGGCCTTCCTTGGTCCCGATTTCGTACATATTATTGTTAACTGTAAAAACAGAATAAATACAATTTTATAATTTTATCTGGAATAATAATAATGTAAGTAAAATATTTTTGAGTACCTGAAAGAATAACTCCAATAATGTTTCTAAAATCACTACGGGTCCTATCAAAGTTTGGAATTTTAACCGTTACTGACTGACCAACTTCGCCGGGACAATAACGATTCTCAGAAGCTTGCTTCATTTTTATAGCTTGAACTTTCAAATTTTTAAGTGATTCGGTTCTATTTTCACGAATAGCTTTTATTCTTAAAGGTACAGCTAAAATAACATAAATATATTGATTAATTTTATTTAAGTATATAACATAATTATTACTCAAAAACGGAAATTAAAAATCTAAAATTATAATTAAAAGGTATTATTATTATTATTGTTATTATTATTATTATTATTATTATTACTACTACATAGATATAGGTACCTTCTTTGTTTTCGATGTCATTATTACATTTCGATACAGTAGAAATAGAATTCAGAGCTTCTTCGAGGTCTTCTTCAGTTCTTAAATTAATTATTATATTTACTAACTTTATTTTAACTATGTTTTACGATTTATCATATTTTATTAACTCATTAATTTTCTATATTGCCCAAATTGTATACTTTGCCCGTAACATATATATACTTAAATCCTTAAATTGTTGTATTTCTAAAGTAATTCTTTTTATATATCATTACTACAGTTCTATTACGATTTTTTAACTACGAGGAGATCAACATAATGCATATAATGTGTGTTAAATATAATTATTGTTATAATTATTATAGCTGTGGAAAATAGTGCCATACAAGATTTAAATAATGCATTAGTAGTAAGTTACTAACTACTAGTGACCAAAATTGTTCACATTTTTTTATCACTGAAGGCTCATTTAAAAAGTATTTAATACATTTAAAATAAATTTATTATACGAAGATAATGATACAGATATATTGTAAGAACAACATGGGTCTGATCGTTTAAAAATAACTGAAATTATACATAATAATTATTATAATATAATAAAGGATCTAAAAAAATACGTGGAAAATTATTTGATGGCAACGAAGTTGCTTGATTTGCAGGGATTTTATTAGCAATGAAAAAATAATAATATTTAGATTTTTATAATGTCATGTTGAAATGTTTAAGATACATCAAACCAGCCTATAAAATTTTTCAATCAAGAGAAATTAGTTTAAACTCTGCATTTCCAATTATTCATAGGTAGTGTAATTAATAGTTTAAAACAATCAAAAATGAAGATATTTTCAAAAAAGTTATAAATGATTGTGAAAGTTAACTACCCAAATAAAAAACTGAATCTCCAAAACGTTAGAAAAAAACTAAAAAAACTTTTAAATGAATTATCTAATTTAAATGGTTAGATTAGTTGTAAAATATAAATAAAATAAAATAAAAACTCAAATAAGTATGAATGTGAAGTAATGTACTTATACACAAAACAATATTAACATTTCGTTATAACGTACATTTTATCATGTTATTAACATAATAAAATCGGAAATGGAATTCGTTTTTTAAAACAATGATGAATTTATTAAAGATGTTTTTAATACATACGAATTACATTATGATGAATTTTAAATACTTTATAACCATAATATTAATATTTCATCAAAAGAAAAAGCAATTTGTATAAAAAATTATATGAAAGAAAATATATTTAAATGGGATTTTGATGCAAATGCGTCTTTTTTTTCTGATTTCCCAACACATAGGTTATAACATGCAAATTATAAAATAAATTAAATTTAAATAAAGTTAAATAAAATGTTAATAATATTAAAAATAAGAACCTATTTTGTTATTATTATGTAATATAATTAAATATGTTTGGTTACATGATTTTTATATTATAATTTTTAAACTATAATAAATATTTTTAACATTTTTTCATGATTTTTAGAAAATATTTGCTATTTTTAGAACATTTCAATCCCAGCCCTATTAATAAAGATATTTTTTTAGAACTTTACCTACAAAGTATAGCATTTATAATTAAATTTAAAATGATAGAAGCAGTTGAAGTATTTGGATGTAGCTCAGCAGCTTACAAATCGATATTTTCCTGCTTAATCTGATTTGGAAATTCTCAAAGGCAATCAATAAAACATAACCGGCTTTCCAACTTGAGTTTATTGGCGTTTGAGTCCAAATGAACTGAAAACTTAAATTATTATTAATGGATTACAATTAGCAAAGAGATACAATTTTGCAACTGTGTTAATTTAAAAAACAAAACATTTTTATTATTTATTATTTTTTTATTTAATATTTTAATTTAAAATATCTAGTTTGTATTTATAAAACAAAATTCTTATAGAAAGCCTTAAAAAAATATTCAAAGTTTAGTTATTTTGATTTACGATGAGAATGTTTTTAATGGATATCAAATAGAAATTTAGAGCAAAATAAATAAATTAAAAATCGTATTAATATTGTTTTTTACTAATATCACCCTAAAACTTAGTTCACCCTACCTGATGATTTGATATGGCTATGGGCCTTCGAGGAGTGTTTACTTTATAACACTAAGTACTAAGTACTCACCGTAGAATCTATAACATTCATTTTTATATAATAATAAGCTCGTAAAAAATGATACAAGTAAAATTCGTATTTTTAAATGCGTATGTTTAAGAGCTTTAGAACACAGCTTGACCTCAACTTGATCGAAGCCGTAATAATATTAATTATATGTATTTTAAAGATAAAAATATATATACTTTTACATTAAAACAAAAAATCATATAATTGTCGATTACATTAATACGAAAGGAAAAGCATTTTTCTGAGCTATCAAATAAACAACTGTAATATACAATTGTAAAACTTTATTTGTAGGAGACTATGAATTACCAGATGGTGCAAGGTTAACTTTGGATATTCTGGACACATCGGGAGCTTATCAATTTCCGGCAATGAGAGAGTTATCTATATCTACTGCGGATGCATTTCTTTTAGTGTTTTGCGTAGACCGAGAAGACACCTGGGATCAAGTTAAACACTTCAAAGAACAAGTAAATGTGGACCATTTACTTTTATATAAAATATTATATTACATTCATCGTTACGTGGTTTTAAAATAGTTTTTCTTACTATTTTATTTTGTAATTAATTATTACAGATAATCGAGAGGCGAGGACCAAAAATTCCAATAGTTATTGTAGGCAATAAGTGTGAACTTCCTGAAAGATTTTTACCTACGGAAATTACCGAAGCAATATCCAGATACGATTGGGAATGCGGCTACGTTGAATGTTCAGCCAAAGAGAATAGCAACATAGTACAGGTGTTCAAGGAGCTCCTCGCTCAAGCAAAGGTAAACAGATTAATTCCATTCGAATTCGTAAAAAAGTTTTTGGATCTGTACTCCAATTTTTTTTCTTTATTCGGAAACATAATTTTTCTTAAGTCTGTGTGAATTGTGTGGTTTGCTATTCAATTAAAAACTTTCTCTTATTGGTTCGGCAAATATAAATGATTAACCATAGTTTTATGTCAACAATAAATTTATTTTTAAATGTTTCAAAACTTCATTACACAAACAATTATAAACTTTTATTTAATGTACTTCCATTTAAGTTGACCAATTATGTCCACACACTTGAATTATCTAACCTGTAGTTTAACTCAGTTATAGTTTGTCTGTTTCATTAAACTCATACAATTCACTCATACGAGTATGTTAAGAAATATTTTTAATGATTACAGTATTTTATTTTCTTCAATTTAAAGCAAAAACATATTTTAAACAGTAATTTGGTTTATTTGCATTTTATAACAATCATTATGTTGAAATTGAATAATTATATACATACACTTAAATTTGTAAAGTAAATAAATTATATTTAATCGTAATAGGATTAAAATATGAAATACATATTTGTGTTATTTTAAACAGTATTGTTGTTTTATTGAGCATTGCAATTAATATTTTATGAACAACGATTATAATTATACATATAATAATAACAATAAAATAGGTACTTATATTTTTTTCTTTTTTTAGCCAAAATAAATAATAAAAATTTTGTGTCTGCTATTTTGTGTTTAAATATTACAAAATAAATTAATTTAATTTTTTTAATATTTATTATTAAATATAATAAAATATATAAACACTATAAATATAGTAATTTTAATAATTACTTATAAAAAAATAATTCGAGTATTAATGATTTTATTAAGATTCTATTTTTATAAAAAAATTCAACTTGTACACATTCTCGATTTCCTAAAATTTATAAGAAATTAAATATAGTTTTCTCGAAAATAAATTTCAATGAAATTGAAACAAATTAAAAATAATTCACTTTACAGAATTGTCCATGATAAAAATTTAAAAAAAAAACATATTTAATGCTTTTAGGTCCAATATAACTTAAGTCCGGCTGTAAGAAGAAGGCGTATGTCTCTACCGAGTTACGTGGAAAATCGTTCGGGATCGACCAAAGGACGATACATGCTCAAAAGAAATTCATGTACTGTAGCCTGAAAAATAGAAGATCCATAGTTTATTATTGTTTATAAAACGTAATTTAAAATAAAACAAATAATCTAATTTCGATTATTTTAAATGTTATGGTGTGAACTGGAAATGAGTGTGAGACTTGGTTTTAAAGTTCTTGAATGTTGATATAACATACTTGTATAATGTGGATACAAAAGACTCAAGATCCAAACATTATTTAAGCATTACAATATTATAACGTTACATAATTTGGCTTCAAGAAACTCTCGCTTTTTATAATGATTTTTGTACTGCAATTTAAATTTAAGAACGATAGTACTATTTTAAAATACATTATAAGATTGTGATTTGCTATTTAAACAGTATAATATAATACGAGAACCAAAATTATTTTTTGCTTATAATCAATGATGCTATTTAATATTTCATACATAATATCACCCTGTTGAAATAAATTGAGATCTGTGAGAATGATTTAAAGCAATTTGGTATGATTACATAGTAATAATGGTTAATTAAAAACCAAAAACTATTATTATTACATTTAGTATTGGTTGAGTAAACATTTGTAACAGTATTATGAGATCGAAAAATTCAAGAAAAAAAACAAAATTACAATAAACATAATAGTAACTAAGTACTAATAACAAATTACACAATATGGAATGAAAATTAAAGTGTGTATACTATTAATCAACACATTAATATAATTAAATATAATATTTACTAACATACACTTAATAATGAAGTTATAAATAAGCTAGTTTTGCATTTATATTAAAATATATATAATCAAATGAAACCAATTATTATGGACCACAACTAGTCCTTTAACAAACTAATATGAAACTAAACTATTATTATAATATTAAACAAAACAAACAAAAAACTCTTTTTTTAAAAAAAAAAAAATTGCGTATATATTATAAGCGTAAAAAAGATAATGTAGAATAGTTTAAACGTAAGTTACTTTTTTACATCTAAGCATAAGTACCAAACTATATATATAATTTAGTATAGTAGTTGTTTTATTTTAATTGTAATATTTTAATCAAAATTATATATATATAGTTTATTAATTCAAACTAGTTCAAAAATATAATTTATATAAATCCAATAACTGTTAATTAATAAAAACATTTTAAACTTATAATAAAACTGTTTTTTGTGTATAGTAATTATTATAATATTAGTAATTGATATCCTCGTGAACTCTAGATATGTATAAACAATAAATATATCATATATCCGTATACTATGTTCTTTTATACTTATACCGCTTATTTATCTTAGTTTTAGTAATCCCAATATTATATGGAACCCATTTTTAATTTTTTTTTTTTTTTTATTCAATAAACAGTTATTAATAGTATATTTAGATATACCTGAAAAACTGTTTTGTACTCGTATTATACGTATATTTATATTTTATATCTAACCTTTCAATAATCTTCTTAATAAAGTTATGTACTCCCATCTAATTTTAATATCACCACAGAATGTTATGTATGTGAAGTATTTATAATCATTTTGGAAAATAATTTTAAAATAAACCTATTACTTGTCATATTATGATAATTATTATATTTTGATAGAATTACTCTTTTAAATTTAAGTAAAAATGTAAACATTAAGATTAAACTACAATTTATAAAATATCTTAAGATCCATCATTTTTAAGTATTTTATATATTGTATATTTGATAGGAACTTATACAGCTATCTATACAACTTAAGTTGAATTTATAATAGTACAAAATAGATTATATTTCATCATATTATAGTACACAATATATATTGAATATTTTTCATGAGATTATAAAAATAAATCATGCAAAATACATATTATGTTTAATAAAATTATTATTTATAAAGAGTTACAAATTTTAGTCATGATATAATTATTATAACTTACCGACAGTGAATGTATTATGGTACCTACAGTGACTTATCAATAGTAAAAATCTTTTATGATGGAGAAATACAAAATATATCAATTTTGATGTATGCATTTCAGTAGTTTTTTCTTATTACCATAAAATATATTTTAAATGACGTACTTACCTATTAGAAATATAATTACCTTTATAATCATAACTTCAGAAGACATCAAGAAAAAATAATCGAAAATCTTGTTAATGTAAATTACCATTAAAATTAATAATTTTAATATTTTTTTTAATTATATTAAATATATTTATACTTTGTAAATGTGCAAAATAAATATAATTGATAGGTACAGTCCAAAAGGCATTTCGCTTGTTGCAATAGCTACCTCATCATTTTTTATTATTTGTTAATTTTAATTAACATTACAATACCTATAATATAAATTTTTGCGTCCACCCTCTTCTTTTATCTTAATATATTTTAATCCTACAGTTTAACTGGATGTATTTATACTAAAGTTAGACAATACTCCAAACAGTTCAACAAAATCCAGAGTCAAAGGTATTAACCAATTCCCAACAAATTGCCACTGAACAATTTTGTTATATTGTACAAAGAACGAGTGTTCACTGTTACCAAATTTGAATCCAATCTGAACTTAAACCAGATGTTCGATTGGGTCGTTATTCGCTTATAAAAAGTAGTTTAAAGTTTTTAATCATTTAAATAAATTTATAGTCATTAATCTCGAACTGTCAGGGTTTTAATATAATTTTAATTCTTAAAATTATTATAGCATTAAACAAGTGATACACATCGTTAAGACAAAAGTCATCACCGTGTACAAAGTATAAACAAATAAGTTACTATATTTTACAAGTAAACGCCACCGATACATAGCTATAACCCACTAAATTTTTTCTGTCTATTTATTATTATTTTTAATTATATTTTAAGGAAAAATTGGTAGATCATTTTTATTAATTAATTTCGACGAGTCTTTTACAACTTTTGAGAAAAAATAAAATTTCAACCAACGAAATTTATATTTAATTTAAAATTAAAATCTAAAAATGTTCGCATGTTTCTATAATTTATTTATTAACTTAATTTTTTTCATTATTCTTAAATTGTTCTTATTGTTCTATTGTGTAATAAAAAACCATTTTAAAAACAAAATTAAATAAGTAATAATAATAAAATAATATGAAATAAACTTACGTACACTGAATAGTTAATATTTGTTTTAAATTTTAATTAAACTGTCAAAGGATCTGAAGTTCTTCGAATCATTTGACATCAAATTAAATATTTTGAATACAATTATATCACAGCGTAAACATTGAACAAAATGATAAAACCGACGGTTTCGACGGAGTATGGGTTAAAGTTTTTAGTAACTGAATGCCTAATATAAAAAGCCTTAACGCATATATGCTTAACATGTATTTATACAACAACTCGAGTGTTAAAAAAATTACTTTTTGGGACAAATTTTAACTACTATTTATTACACCTTTTTCAACACTTGGTTTAACAAGCCAATATTTGAAATTTTTTCAAAACTCGAGTAATAATATAAATATAATTAATACCGACTAGCGCACGCAATGTGTTACCGCATACACATGTATTTAAAACACTCACGCTTATTTATTATTATATCTGTGTCACCAACTATGATTCTTTTTTTTCATACATCATATCGAAGAGGAAAAAGCCTTTAAAAAACCCTTTAAAAAAATTTCGAAACTTTGGGGTCCAATGACCCCACGGTAAGTTTTACAAACATTTTAATTAATCTGAATACTCGCTCCGTGTAATATCATTATGCAACGTAACCAAATACCTATCCGAACTGAAATAAAATACCTATGTATAACACTCAACAAAAATCAACATGGGGACCGCATTTAAAGGAAAAACGAAAATCAGCAAACTTCATCTTTATAGATCGCCCTCTCCTAAACTCAAAAATATCACTCCAAAATAAACTACTCATTTATAAAACAATTATAAGGCCAGTTTGGTCCTATGGAATAGTAATGTGGGATCCTGCAAAACCATCTAACATAAGACCAATCCAGGCATTTCAGTCAAACTCTTTGAGGCTACAAACACATGTACCCCCCTTGTACGTTTCAAATCTTTCCTTACACTTAAAAATAACAATTACCACCGAACTAGCTAAAACAATGTATAAGCGCTTCCATCAATATTTAAGCACATATAGTAACTTACTCATATCACAAATGTCTACCTAAAAACTTTTCACTCTACCTTAAAAACCCATCTCACAGACTTAAACCAAAATTATGTCGAGATCAATTAAATTAAAGAGGTATTACCAATGGGTTGCTTCCTCAACATGTTATTCTTGTCAATTTAATCTCTGTTTGTAATCAATTTTGGTCATTGCTAATTTATTTGTTTGTACAGATTGTAAATTTTTCTTTAAATAAATAAAAAAAATAATGATTTTTTCAGACGCAATGAGATTCCAGTTAATTAATGTTCGCTTTGCTTTTGTTTATCATGGCCAATTCGTAAACGCTTAATATACCTAACTATGATATCTCATGCGTCCGACCAATTTTAATTTAAAAATTGTTGAAACGGGTGCATAATTGCACCAATAAATACGAGTAAGTAATTACGGCTCACGCAGTGGGTGTTCCTGGAAAATAAGAAAGCAGGGGTAAAAATATTTGTGATAGTAAATAATATTTGTCGATAATCTATACGAGCGGCGCATCGTCGGCCGCAGGATATTATTGCACGTACATCCACCCAGTTTGGATGGGGTATTATATTATTTTATCAATAAATTCTTGTGGGAATACGATAACTTTCACGCGTAATACCTTCGCTATAAACTTACACCATAGCAATCGACGTGTATTCTAATCAAGAATTTTAATAATTTTCGCGTGTTTTTTTACATTCTGTTGTATAATAAAACACATATGTTAATATTATAATATGTCTATAAATTTTAAATGTATAACGTTTGCGGTATTGCTATGCGCACGTTTTACCTTATCGGCGCGCGTAATATTCAAAAGCCAATTACCATTCGATATTGTGTTGCGGTTAATTCGAATCAGTCGAGCGATAAAAATGGTGGAACGTGAAAAAGTGCTATGGATTGTTATTTTTTTTTTTTAGGTACAATATAACTTTATATTATTGATAATGAA